TATTTCATATAGAGTCCAGTAGCTTAATACTGACACTGACTTGATACAGCATGGGGTTTCTAATGCCACACACAGTATTTAGAAAACCTTTAGTTATGATTCCTGTGAAATATAAGTATAATGTTTATCTTATTTCACAAACTCATATGAAATGTGTAATTATACCTTAGGGATTTAAAAAATGGCATGTAGATTGTAAACAGAGGCACTAGACCCATGTTATGTTCTTTATATCTGATGAATGTGAAAAACATTCTGCTTTCTGAACTTTTTTTTTTTGGCAGTACTGGAGATTGAACCCAGGGTTTTCACACTAAGCCACATCCCCAGCCTTTTTTTGCTTTTTGAGACAGGACATTGCTAAGTCCCTAAATTGCTGAGGCTGGGCTTGAACCTGAAGTCCTTCTGCCTCAGCCTCTCAAAGAGTGCTGGAATTACAGGCATGCACCACCACACTTGACTTCAGCACATTTTTTAAGGGGTTGAGAATTGAAGATGTTCTCAAATGGTTTTATGAATTTAGAGTATTCTCCTTAATATAATAAAACCTGATAAAATGTTAAGACTTTGTTAAAACACCTGTTTGTTCTCTCTCTATTCATTAAATCAATTCACTCAGTGCTGCCATATGACATTCTAAATCTTGGGTTAGGATTAGGGTTAGGTTTAGGGCAAGGCTTTCTCTTCAATCCAGGGCCTTTGCACTAAGCTATACCGCCCCACCCCCACCTCCCCGACCTTATTTTTTATTTTGAGACAGGTTCTCACTAAGTCACCCAGTTGTCTGGCTTGACTTGAACTTGTGATCCCCTGCTTCAGCCTCCCAGAGTGCTGAGGTTACAGGCGTGGGCCACCATGCCATAAGATCAGAATCATGCCTGGCCACTCTCAGCTTTTTATATCCAGTTGTGAAGTTGACTTTCAGTACAAAACATACTTATAAACAAATAAAATTCCTTTTTATTTTCTTCTTAACCATGTAAGGTTTGTGATCTTTCATCTGGTGCTGTGAGACGTCTTGCCAACTTTAGATCTGCTTGCTTTCTCTAACCTAACCATACACCACGTCTACAGATTGTTCAATAATCACACAGGGAAAGGAGGAATCAGTGCTGTTTATTGTTTGCTTCTAAGTCACAGAAACGTCTAAAAACTGAAAATGACCATGTTTTGTAGTTTAGTGATTTCCATATACATTCTGATGTCATTTGACAAAGCCAACAACACAAGGCACGGTGACAAGAGAAAAACAAGGTTTATTGAGTAGCCAAATAATAGAGTTTCTGCTCTCAAATCAGCCTCTCAACTCTAGAGACTTGAGGGGTCACAGGTACAGGATAGAGAGAATGAGGGAGAGAGACCAGTTAAGAAAGAGCTGGACTGGGCCAGGGATTTAGCTCGGTGGTGCCACCGCCTGCCTTAAAAGCACAAGGTCTCGAGTTTGATCCCCTGTACCAAAAAAAAAAAAAGAAAAAGAAAGGGTTGGCCTGTTTGTGTCTTCTTGAAATTAGTTATTGTCCAGGAACTAGATGCCACCTCTTTCTGCTCCTTTTCAGGTCTTGTGTTTCTGGTCAAGGCGGCTGGTAGATGTCTTTAGCCCAAGGACAGCTTAAGTCATCTTTGTTAAGGCAGCAAAGCAGACAAACAATAGGAAAACAGAGATGCCAAGCCTTTTCATCCACTCCTGCCACCAACTGGCTGTCTGCAGGCCCAAGGGAAGAGTCAGTGTCTTCAGTACAAGCAGCCTTGTGCACCTGAGATGTATCCTGGGCAATTGTGACAGTTAATCTTCACTGTCAACTTGATTGGCTTGAGAGACTCCTAAGAGGCTAGTAAAGCACACTTCTGGGTGGGTCTTGGAAGCAGGACCTTGGGTCCCTGGCCCCTTCCTCTCTGGCAGCAGACCTTGGCACCATCCCTATGGTGCTGGTTTTGCAGGCACGTACAGTAGAAGAGTTATAGGGTCTTGCAGTCTTCCGCAAGATTTCAAAGACAGGCCTGGGAAACCAGGCATTGTGTGACAGGATCAGAGTCCCTACTGAGAGCTCCCACAGGACACTGTGTGAGGCTATAGGAGTGAGGGTGAAGTTGCAGTGGAGACCTCTGGAGCTGGAGATGCCAGGAGCAGAGCCAGCCTAGGAGAGAGGCCATGTGGGCTGCAACTGGCAAGGCCATAGGGACGGGGCTGCCCAAGCCCTTTGGAGCTCACATTGTGCAACCACATGTCCAGGATGCTGGATATGGAGCTGTAGGACTTAATACTGAGTTTGAATCTTGCCTTGCTCCTATTCTTTTTTATCCCTCTATTCCTCCCTTTTGGGATGGGAGGAGCCATTATATTTTGGGAGCATGTAACTTGCTTTATGAATTTTATGGGGATGTGCAGCTAAGTTTCCCTTGAGTATCAGAGGAGACTTTGGACTTGGGTTTTTGAGCAATACTGGGATTGTTGAGATTTGGGGGTAAGAGATTAGCACTGCAGGATGGTGGGATTATGTTAGGTGGAATTATGACCTTGTTATTTTCTCTATTTGGGGACTAAGTATGGTTTAAGGAGATGTGTTTGGGTGTCAAGTTGACAAGGGGTGGACTTGTGATGGTTAATCTTGTCAACTTGATTAGCTTGAGATGCCTCGGAAATTAGTAAAGCACACTTCTAGGTATGTCTGAGTAAGTCATGGAAGCAGGACCTTAAGGACAATATCTGGTCCCTGGTACCTTTCTCTTGGGCTCTTTCCCATTTTCTGCTTCCAGGATGCCAAAAAGGTGAGCAGTTTTCTACTATGCCCTCACACTATGGTGTTTCTATCTCAGAGCCAGCCAGTGATGGACTGAAACTGTGAGCCAAAATAAACCTCTCTGATTTTAAATTGTGTATGCCAGGGCTGGGGATTTAGTTCAGTGGTTCCACCGCCTGCCTCGCAAGTGCAAACTCCCTCAATCCCTGATACCAAAAAAAAAAATTGTGTATGGCAGACATTTTGTCCCAACAATGGAAAACTAATACAGCTATTTAGCATGGGTGATGAATGTCCAGCCTGTCAGAGGCAGATACTGACATGAGCCTCCGCATGGTGCCAGGCTTGGAGGGCCAGCTGGAGACCATGGCAGGTTGCATACAATGGGCTCCCTTCCTCCTGGTGAGGTCAGCAATTCAGTTTGTCCAGTGTCTATGGCATCAGCACCATCCAAAGGCTACAGAATGCCTCCTCACTGACTTGCAGAATCTGTGCCCCTCAGCTGTGACTTAGACCTTAGTGGATCAGAGATCCTGGTTTCCAGGGGAGGGAGCATTTTTTCCAGGGAATAGCAAAAGGGACTCTTCAATTCAAATCTGAAGCTACAAACATCACCTAGTTACTCTAAGCTGCTAGGACCAGTGGGTCAGCAGGCAAACAGAAAACAGCAATTGTGAAGTTAATGAGGTTAACTGACCATGATTGTCCTGAGATGCCAGGTTGCTGGTACATTCTGTGGGCAGAGAGTTAATCTAGTAGTTGTCCTGGGGTAATTCCTGGGGTAGTCCCTGGAGCATATCTTCCTGCCCTCATGCCCACTGAGGACCAAGACAGTGCAGCCTGATTGGATGAGGGCAGGCTGGCAGGAGCCTGGGCCTTGTGGATGTGTCCAGGTCATCCCACCTGGCAAGCAGCCTGGACCAGTGGACGCTGGCGGGGGGCGGGGGTGGCAAAGACAGGAGATGATGACTATTACCCATGGCAGCCCTGAGGATGGATGGTCATCCACCAACCACACATTAGGTCTCACAGGGACTGCCAGGCCACCTCTTCAAAGAGCCCATGAAAGCAGACTTACTGTGGAGAATAAGGAAAACAGAGCAGCCCAGGGCAGACTGTCACACTTCCACGGCCATCGGCACTCACCTCTTAGCCTCCTCTCTCATCTTGGCTGCAGACAGGTGGATAGTGCCCTGTGGTGTCAAGGGCCAGCATCCATCTCTTCTCCTTCCTTCCCTTCCTCTTTTTGTCTTTGCAGTATGGGGATCGAACCCAGGTCTTGCAAATGCTAGGCAAACACTCTACCACTGAGTGACACCCCGAGGGCTTTTTCTATGAGGCAGTCTTGGTAAACTCCCCAGTTGGGCTTCAAACTTTCCTGTCTCTGCCTCCTGAGTAGCTGGGATTACAGATGGGCACCACAGAACCCATCTAGCATGTTGTTTTCTAGCCCAGGCTCAATATAATAGGAGGAAAGATAGGTGGAGGCTGGGGGCTTTGCACGATATCCCTCAACCATACCCTAGCTGACCTCAATAACCTACCCTCTTTCTTTTCCCACCATTCTAACCCCTCACACCTGTTCCTGGGTCACCTCCCAGATAAATGTGCAGAGCCTGTCTCAGCCTTGCTTGGGAGACGCCTCCATGCCCACTTCCTCTCCTTCAGTCCCCTTCCTGATGAGGTTCCATGTCCACCCTCTGCCCAGCTGGAAACCCAGCTGTGATCCTGGCCCCTTCCCAACACTGACACCCAATCAGCCATGTGTGGAGATGACTCTTCCATCTCACTTGTCTCCTGTGTATGGTCTGGCCACCCCTACCCCTCCTGGACAGCTGTGGCAGCCCCCTGCCTGCACCTGTCCACCAGAGGTGTCTGCAGGAACTCTCTTGGCACTCTGTGCTCTGACCACCTGCCTCAGACTTCGAACCAGTGTGCTGAGCTGGGGTGAACAAGCACAAGTTAGCCCCATGGTGGTCCTGGGTTCGACTGGCCTAGGTTCAACACAATACTCTGGAGGAAGCAGAAAAAAAGTGGGTATTGGTCTGAAACATCTCCGGGCCTCTAGCAACATATTGCTCGGCCCAAGGTTGTGGGCACCTCCCAGGTAACTCGCCACAGAGCCCAGTTCCTGCCCCCTCAGTGAATCTTCAGTGCATCCCTAGAGGGCTCAGGAAACTGACAGGAACTGACAGACCTGGGGCCTGATCTCTTTTCTGGGTACAGAACTAACACCAGAAGCAATGATCAAATGCCGAGGAATCTTTTTAAAATCATTTTTAATATTTTTTGCCTCATTTACCAGATAAATCATCTAAATAAATAGATGCTATAGTCTCTTACCAATATCAGTACAAAAATAAAACCGCGCTCTGCACCCACGGAATCCCCGCACACACTCGCCCGGGAAGGCGTGCGCTCGCCCCCCCCACCCCCCAGTACATTCATGTAGTCTGAACAAAGCTCGGAGCTCATTCTGTGCAAAGGAAGCGTTCTTGTGCTGAGACCTGGCGGCCACTTATAAAGCAAAAGCTACGCCATCTTATAGATGCTGGCGCCTGCCCCTGGAGCAGGAGGTGGGAAGAAATTGGCAAAGGGATCACTATCCCAAGAACAACCTCACAGCCCAGAGGAGCTTGTCCCCGAACTGCAAGCGGCCATGCCGGGGCAAGGCATTCTCACCCATGGCAAAGGAAAAGTACCGGCTGGCCTCTACATTCAGAACAGGTGGGACAGGGGGAGGGGAGGCAGGTGGCTTTCAGAGCCCTCTCCCACCCGAGTACTGGCCTTCTGGGGGGCAATGGGGTGGGAGATCACTGCCCACCTGGGATACTCCAGACTGGGAAGTCACCTGTCCTGGGCCAGAAAAGACCCTGCAGCCTATAGCTGTCCTCCCCAGAGAGTCAGTGCCACATGGCTGCCTGAGCAGGGGATCTCAGGGCCACCCATCCCAGGCCACCCTCCTAGCCCTCAGCCCTCCCTGAGCTTCAGGCTCCTGGGGGCCACAAAGGGCTGAGGAAGACGAAGGTGTGTTCTGCTGCCTCACCCAAAAGAAAACCTGGTCCACAGACTCACAAGCTGCAGGCAGCTCTACGCGAGTGCCTGGGATGCAGGAAGTGGTTCTGTGTCCCCTGGGGTTGGGCAGCATGATTTCGAATGGAAGCTGCCACCAAGTTCCAAAGCTATGGATCAACTCCTTCAACGGGACCACCACCCTCTACTGCCGTCTCTACTGGGAAACCCTCCCCTCCCCAGGGACCCGCTGCTGACAAGTGGCAAGTCCTGCTGCCCCTTCCTCTCCCTGACCCCCACCTCCACATTCTTCTAGATGCAACCAGGGCTGGGGCTGAAGCAGGTCACCTGCAAGGGACCATCCCCTGTGGAAGCACTGAGTTGACCCTGTACAACTAGGAATTAAGGAGGATGGGGAGAGATGGGACTTGGGGATCTTGCTAACAGAGCATCCCAAACAGAAATGGGGTGCAGGCTGTCTTTGGTTTGGGAACTGGGGAGGGACAGCGAAAGAGTCGCCTACCCTTGCCCCTACAGAGATCTGCTGACCTCCCAAGGACACAGCAGAGTCAGGGGACACACACATTGGTTCTACATTCAAGTCAGGCTAACAGCAGCCGAGAGAGTAGGGGAGGAGACCTCTCCATGCTCCCCTGGGACCCATCCCACTTGGCCTTTCTCTCCCACGGGGCTGGGACGGGAGAAGTCAGCCCGTGGGACATCTCTGCAAACTAGAAAACAAGCCCCGTCCTGGTAGATGCAGCCCTTGCCAGAGCATGGGGTCCTTGCACACCCTGACCCCCATAGGAACAAGGTCAGCCCTGGCTGTGGCATTTAGGTTGACTGGGGAGAAGACATAGACTGGAAGGAAGCAGGGGTTCAGGAGACGAGGACTGCCCTGAGAAAGCGGGGGGATATTCTCTCCGCTGCCCACGCCATGGTTGGCTGAGCTAGAGGGGAGGGCAGAAAAAAGAGGAACTTGGAGGGCTGAAAAGTCACCTGAGTCAGAAAGGACAAGAACCCCTGCGGGAGGAAGGACAGGTCCCAAGTGTCTTAGAGCCTATGCAGATGTGTCAGCACAACTCAGCAGATGTTTGCCCAACTGTGACCTGGGCAGGTACAACTACAAGGCCACAATGGCATGGCTGGAGCGCCAGATGCCACCATGCTCATGGCCAGGCGCCTCTGCTGATGGCTGGGAGCAAATGGAGCTCAGACGAGTCCTGTCACACAGCACGCGTACAAGGTGCGTGCGGGGGCTGCCGTGGCAAGTTCTTTTGTGCTATGAATCGCCTCACGCTCATCTGGTCAGGGTTTCTCAGGGAGGTGTGCAGGGCCCACATGGACACATCTGCAGACACGAGAGGCAGGTCTGAGTGCACACGAGGGACAAGGCATGCACACCTGGGTGGCTAGTGTTTCCAGGTGAGGCGGCCAGAAGGGTGGCCACCTCTCTGGGGGGCCAGGGCATGGCCCCACCACCTCAAACCCCGCCTCCCTCCCCTTGCCGAAATCCCAGACCCTGGTGGTCAAAGCCAGCCTTCCAGTCCCTCAGTAAAGCTGGGGTGGAGAGTTCAAAATAAAGATCCAAGCCAAAAACAAAAAAGTAGGGGGGGAGCAACCTGGGTCACTGCTCGAGGCAGAGCTCTGGACCCCCCTTGACTCCTAGAATCAGCTGCTTAGAGACCGGTATCCCAGGCAGGCGGCCCTGCCCCATCCTTGAGATGACTCAGCCACCAGAGTTTCGCTGGCCTCTCAGCCCCACCCAGTGGGCCGGCTGTAAACATCCCTCGAAGATCAGAGAGCAAGGCAGGGTGACAGGAGGGTGGTGGGGTCTTCCCCCTTTCTGCTCCGGAGTTTTTTAAATAAAATAGGAACCCCACCCCAACCCATCCCCAATCTCTGGAGTTGCCCACCCCAAGCCCCAAAGAAAACAGTTTAAGGACAGCGGTCACGGAGGCTCAGAGCTTCCTGCTGCGATCTCGGAAGAAGCCCTCCGCTGCCTGGGCCTCACGGAAGGTGACGGTGATGGAGTTGGCGGTGATGTCAGTCACGGTCACCTCACTTGAGGGGAGCGTGGGTGTCCAGGGAGGGGGCCCATTGGCCAAGTCTGCATCTGCTGCGGCCACAGGACAAAGACAGGGACAGGAGACAGGTTGACAATGGGTAGACAGGTGGGAGGGGTGGCAGCACGCAGACTATCCCCCACCCCAACACTGAGTCCTTTGCTCAGCGTCCCCAGCCAGCTCAGGACCCAGCTCAAGGCGGACACCAGGAGGAGGGCACCACGTGAATCTTCCCTGGCTGGATGGAGCCCTTCTAGAGAGGGGGCACAGCGCCGGGCCAGGGCTCAGGCGGGGTTGGTCCTGACTGTTTCCTGGCTGTGTGGCCTTCTGGGCCCTTGGGATATGGGTCAGTGGGCCTGGTAACCCCAGGCCCTTCCTGTTTCTGAGGCCTTGGGGCTGGGCTGCCTTACCCTCCTCCTCCGGGGGCTGCTCCGTGGACTCCCACTCGCTGGCTGCCTGCAGGACCTCTGTGGCCGGTGGCTCCTGCAGGGAGAGCTCCCGTGGATGGCTGTGACTCTCCAGGTGGGTCCCGCAGGGCGGGAACTTCTTTCGTGAGAGCCGCAGGTACTTGTGGGCCTTGTGCGGCTTGCAGAGTGGGAAGGGCAGGGTGGGCACCAAGGGGCCCTTGTCCACCAGCTCAGGTGCCCCCGCCTTGACCACCCCCTCAGGGCTCCCGCTGCCAAGCGGGCACGTCAGGGAGAAGCAGAGCTTCTCCTTGCCCTTGGCCTTGTGGGAGCTGCGCAGGTCCATGCTGTACAGCCGCTGCGAGGGAAGCCAGGGCACGGCGGGTCAGCCTGCCCTCCCGCCTTTGCTCATGCTGTTCCTCCCACCAGAGCAGCAGCTCCCAAGCCTACCTAGGCCAGGCCAGGCCCTCCTTGGGGCCCATAGTCTCCTGGCCCCAGGGATGGAGGCCAGGGCTCCAGGCTCATTCCTTAGATACACACCAAGGAGCACACCAGTTTTCCAACTGGAAACTGACCAAGGGCTGGGGTGTGGCTCAGTGGGAGAGCACTTGCCTAGCATGAGTAAGCTCCTGGTTTCGATTCCCAGCTCCACAAAAAAAGAAAAAGGGGGCTGGGGATTTAGCTCAGTGGTGCTGCCACCACCTGCCTCGCAAGCACAAGGTCCCGAGTTCAATCCCTGGTACCCCCCCCAAAAAAAGATCTGGACTTATAGACAAATTAAGGAGTCACTCTTCATCCTACAGGAAAGCACTGCTTCCCAGGGAATTTCCAAAGCTGAAAAGGCACCTCCCTAGGCTGAGCAAAGCTGGCACTGAAGTTTCTTAGAGCAGCTGGCCCAGGGGAACCCAGCATTGGGCTGCATAGCACCCACTGCAGGAACAGGCCCGACCAGGCCCCTGTCAACCAACCTCACCCTGGGTGGGCACGCTCAGGTGCAGGGTGCTGCACATTTGTCCTACTGACTGTGCGGAGAACCAACATGACCCTGAGGAAGATCCTTGGTGCCAAGGCGCAGGGAGACCCAGATCACTCTGCAACAGTACTGCCACGCCACCTGTCCCCAGAGGCCAAGAGCTTTCAGGACAACAGGCTCTGAGACGGGCCCTGTGAGCCGCACACCTCTCAAGCTGAGGCAGTCCTACTCAGTCCTCCAACCGCCTGCAAGGTGTCCTTCTCAGTCCTTTGCCACCTGATCAGCGCAGGCGTGAGGCCCAGTCAAAGCTCGGCTCTAACCCAGAGGAAACTCCTGGCCTCCCGGGCCTGCAGCTACTTCATCAGCAGCATGGAGAAGAGCCTGCAGACAGCCATGTGCAGGCCCTTCCCACAGGAGACACTTGGGATATGGCTTTCGAGGCCAGCTGCTAAGGACACTGCCTTCTCCCACACTCTCAGATGACCCACGCAGGGAAGTAAGTGGCCACACCCTGAGGACATTCACACCACCCCATGGAGAGGTCCACATGGCAGGACCTGGCCTGTAACACCCAACACTGACTTGCTGGGCATGTGAGGGGCCACCTGGGCAGCCAACCCTCCAGGCCCAGGCTTCAGATGACCCCAGCCCCTCAACATCTTGACTACAACTGGAACTAGACCACCAAAGAATCAGAGAAAGCCTTTTGAAAGCCTTCTGACCCACTGAAACCAAGTTATACAATAAACGTTCACAGCTTTAGACTGCTGAGTTGGGGGCAACTTATTACACAGCAGTAGGTAACTAATACACCTACCCAGCAGGTTTGGTGTGTGCATGAAATGTGTCCAATATGCAGATGTCTGTCAAATGTTATGTCCCTTCCTAGGGCCCAGTTCACACCAAACCCCATGGATCACACCCAGCTGGAGGGAGGCCAAGAAAGCCTCTGGTGATCTAGGACTGGGAGTGGCCACACTACATCTAGACCGAGGATCCTCATGTTTGGCCCGATACCCAGTATGGCCTTATTAAATGAAGGCATCTCTTATAGGTGACAACACTCCAGACACAAGCTCATTAATCACCTAACTCACTCCACTGCTTCAAATTCTGAATGCTCTTCTTGCCCCCAAGACCTAAGATGCAGGTCCCCAGGATGTCACAGACTCCCACCTCTCCAAGGACTGGGAGAGGAGGCCCTGGGGTTTCTTTCCAAAAATGCTATGTTTCTAGGAGTCTGCTACCACAAGGCTGCTCCAGGAGGCTTAAGGGCCTCTGATCTTGGGCCCTAAAATTCCAGGTGCCCATGCTTCCTCAATTCTGAAATTTATGTTTCTAAAGTTCTCAACTATTATAATTTTCTGTTTGGGGATTCTGTGCATCAGAAAGGTTATTTACAAGATTCTAGGCTTTCAGAAATCCTAGGACTGTGCTGGCCATGTGCCCACCCTCCCTCCTGCCAGGGTACTCCCCACCCAGGTGTGCCCATCATTCCAGTCTTCTCAACCCCCTCCAAGGAGATGCACCCCTCGAGCACCCCCACAGCACCCTAGCAGTGCTAGAGGAGGGCAGGTGGAGGGGTCCAAGTATCCAAGGCAGAGGCACGAGGGCCGGGGCTGGGCAGGGAAAGGGTGGAGGCCCCAAGACAGCAGTTACCTGCAGCAGAAGCCGTTTGGGTTTCGGGCCTCTCTTCCTATACCCCGATGCTCGGTCTCTCTCCTCCCTGGGTGTAAAGCAGGTGGTAGAAGAAAAGGAAACACTGGTGACATCTAAGGGGGACCAAGGTGTCTGCTTCACCCCCTTCCGCTGTCTGTTGGGAGGGGACACCCCCACAAGCCACCCCTCATCTTCGCCTTTGGGCCAGAGCAGTGGGGTCAGTGTTCAACCTTCAGGACTTGGACCTCCCATCTGGCAAGTGGGACTCACGGACCCGGAAATGTGTGAGTCCTCACTAAGTTTTGGGGCCATGTAAGGGCTCTGCTCCACTTGCTACTGGGGACTCCCAAACTCGCAGCTCCACTTTGTAGTCACAGGAGAGCCTGTCAACCCAGCATGCCTTCAATGTCCCCAGGGAGCTAATGAAGATGGTGAGCCCCTCACCCAGCTCCCCCAACTGGGACCTGCAGGAACCTGGAGAGAGGAAGGAGAGCCCCGCCCGAGTGCCCAGCAGACACCCAATCTCTACTGGGTGCCTGTCACAGGAGCAAACACAAACTCACAAGGCACACCATGAGAATACTGACAGAGCCCACGACACACACAACACACCAAGACCACACAATGGAGCCATGTGGCATGGGAGTTCCGCTTCCTGCCTTACTTCTCATCTGCTGGCCCCACTGCAGAGGGCAGGTAAAGTATGCAGGGCCAGGAGGTCACCATGTCCCTTCCTGGTTGGGTGACCTTGGGCCAGCATAAAGCAGTGAATCCCACAGCATCTATTTATAATGTCTGACCTCCAGGCATAAGCTGCCACTCCCTGTGGGGCATCACCCCCTGGGTGGCAGGAAGGGCACCTTGTGGAGGATTCTAGCCCAGTCGTGACAGCTTCCCACTGCATTCCTTGCCACATGCCAACACAGTTCACAGAATTCTCCTGAGTGCCACAGTGCTTCTAAGGACCAAGGCCCCATCAACACCTGGGGAAGCAGGAAGAAGTTGTGGGGCAGGGACACCCTGATTCTTAACACATTCCCGCAGCTTCAACCACCGAGGGCACATGTGTGATTGTCCCATTGGGCAACTTGTACTACTGGTGGTATGAATGGATCTAATCACTTTTATCAGTCTTCTTACTAAAAAAAAATGCCACCCGATGGAACAGTTATGCATGTATCACTGGTGGTTCAAGCTGCTCAGCAACAAGACACAAATCATGGCCCATCATGAATGTGTTAAAGGAAAGAACAAAGAAAAGCTGTCCTTTTAGTCAGCGGGGGAACCCTCCAGGGGAGGAACAGTGAGGGCAGCAGGGGCAGCGTCTACCCCAAGCTGAGCTGGTTCCCACTGCTGGGAGCTTCAGTGTCCTCCTCCATCAAATGAGACCCTCAGGAAGGACCAGAGAGAAACGATTCTGTGACATGGCCCATACTACATGGGATGGTGGCCAGGCGGAGGTGGGACTTGGGCTGCTGGCCTGAGGCAGTGAGGACAGGCAGAAGGGGCAGCATGCTGGCAGGAGGGGACTGACTCTGCCCTGGGCCACGCGCTGGGAGTTGGCAAGGGGATAGCTCAGGGTTCAGAGTCTAGCCTGAAGCCACAGCCCCTCCAGCCCCTGGTGACTTCATCAGACTTTCCTCCTCTTGTTTGACAACCTCTGACCCACTGCCACTCGTACACAGGGCACTCTGGGAACCATCTTCACACCCCTCACCAGAACTGAACCTCTCCCTGGGGCCTGGGAGAACAATAGAGAGATGGGGCTGGGCAGGGAGAAGGGGCCAACAGGAAGCAGGAAAGGGACCTGGATCTTCAGTGTCCATCTTTGTCCCCCAAACCAGGTCTATCAGACATCCCTGTCGCCCCCACAGGCCCTGCCCAGGGCCAAGCCAGCAGCCAGCTTTCTTTGACACCTTGGAACTAAGACACCTTACTTTTCCTCGTAGGCCATGACAAGGCGGGGGTCCAGGATGTGCTCTTCCGGCTCCCATGTGCTGTACCTGGGGAGAGGAGTGACAGGTGAGTGCAACCCCCACCCCAGCCATGGAGCCCGAGCTGTTGTCTCAGGGCCCACTGTCACCCAACGCTTGTCCTGCCCAGTAAGGTGTGTCTTAACTACTCCAAGGGGCTGACCTGACCTGGGCCTCGCAGGGGCTGCAAGGTCACCAGGCCTCCCCTCATTCACACCACACTCCAATCTGACTGGGGCCTACACCCAGTTAGACCCCATATTCACCGGAGGCCCTCAGTGCCCGGAGGGAGCCAGTCTGTAAACAACACACTTTCTAGGGCAGAGCAGGGACTCTGGAGTCATGCTGCCTGGGTTCAAATCCCAGCTCTGACGAGGCAACCTTGAACCATTTACCCAATAGCTCCATGCCTCAGTGTCCCTCTCTGTAAAGGACACCGGTACTGAATAAATGTGTCATCTAAGTGGGTGCACTGCGTGATGGTGGAGGAGCACTCTGTGAGTATTCCTTGCTGTTTGCCAGTTAGGCAGCTCCTCCTCTACCCTTCACCTCCTATCCCAGCAAGGCCACCTCCCTTCAAAGCCAGCCCCTCCCACCTGGGAGCATCTGAGCCATGGGGCCTGGCACACAGTGGGTGTCTGGAAGATCTCTAGTGGTCCAATGGTGCAGTGCTCCCACAGCAAGCAACTCCTGGGATCACAGAGCACCCGAGGCAGGCTGGCCTGGCAGGCAGCACAGCAGGTGCAGAGCTGTACCACAGCCTCCTTTACCAGCATCTGCCTCCTTAAAGCAGCTTGATTTTTTTGTTTAAACGATTCCATTACACGAGCAAGCTTTACAACTTCCATAAATGGAAAACCCATATCATTCACCACAAACAGACGCAAGTGTTAAAAGTTTTTAAATTTATGCGGCCAGGGACTTAGCTCAGTGGCACCGCACCTGCCTTTGCAAGCGCAAGGTCCTGAGTTCGATCCCTGGTGCCGAAAAAAAAACCTTTTAAAATGTAAAAGTGTATGTATGTGACGGCCGGGGATTTAGCTCAGTGGTTTCGCCACCTGCTGCGCAAGCACAAGGATCCAAGTTCGATCCCGGGAACCAAAAAAAAAAAAAAGTGTATGTATGTGTATGTGAATGTATAAAGTACACATGTGACATACAAACAAACGTACAATACACATACAACACATCTGGATATAAACCAAAGCAAAACCATGTCCTACAATCCCAGCCCTAGGCCCTGCTGGGAAGAGGGCAGGTGACCGGTGTTAGAGAGATGTCAGGAGGCAGAAAGAGGCCAGTGCTGCCTTCTAGTCAGCTGAGCAAAGACCTCTACCTTAAGCCTCCTGGGACACCTCCATGACATTTAACACCAGAGCAGTGTGGAGCAGCAAGCTCCCTAAGCACAGAATGCTCCCCATCACCACCTTGCTTTGTGGTCTGGGGATTGAACCCAGCCCCTTCTGTCACACTTAGTTACATCCCAGCTCCTGTCCTTTGAGGCAGGGCCTCAATAAATCACTAAATTCCTTAGGCTGGGCTCTGGCTTGCAATCTTCCTGCCTCAGCCTCCCAGAGTGCTGGAATTACAGGCGAGTGCAACCACACCGGCGGGCTTTCCTCCTCTCTTGTGTTAACACTCAGCTCCCTACCTGATGTCAGACCTGTGCAGGCTCTGTGGACTCAGTAATGTGCACTGCCCCCCCAATCCCCGCACAGCCCGGCCCCCCTCCCATGGTGCATGCCAGTGGGGAATCCTGTCTTCTGCCTGCCCAGGGCTCTCCTGCTGGGTGCCCTCTCCTGGCAACAAGCTCCAGGCCATGCCTTAACAGTTAGGTCCTGGTAGCTCTACCTGACATCCTTCCAAGCTGCCACCTTCCCAGCAGGACCAATTCTATCTATAAATCCAGTTGGTGCCTGGCCCAGGGATCCCTCCCCAGAGCCAGTGCAGGGCCTGCCCAGGTGCTCAGGAAGGCAGGGGGCAGCCTTGCCTTCATTTGGGCTCACCGCTGCAAAAAGCGGAAAATGAAACAACTCAAGAAGCCCAACAATTCTATCCACGGGAGAGCGGAGACTTGGCTTTCCTCCCCCAGATAAGGCCCGGCTGTCCTCAACCGTCTCTCCAGGAGTCCCAGGTGCCTCTTGCTATCCTGATTTCTGTACTGTCTGCCCTACCCACCTTCCCCTGCACCCCATCACCAGCACCTTCCTTGCTGATGTAGCTGTTGTGCGTTTCCTGACAATTCCTTCCCCATCTCTGGACCCCAATTTCTTCATTTTAAGAATAACTACACAGGGCCGGGGATTCAGCTCAGTGGTTTCGCCGCCTGCTGCGCAAGTGCAAGGACCCGAGTTCGATCCCCGGTACCAAAAAAAAAAGAGTAACTACACACAAATAACTACCACCTCCACAGTAACAGATGCACTGCCTACCTTCAGTAACTTCTCCTCCTTTATAATACTCTGCTAAAGTAGGTTCTTAAACTATTACCCATTTTACAGATGAAAAACTGAGGCAGAGTGAAGTAGCTTGCCCAAGGTCATTGAGCCGGTTAAGTAGCCCATCTGTGTCGAATTCAGTTCTACTCTCAGCCACCCTCTACCTTCCAAGCCCTCACAAATCACTAGGACCAGCTCCCCACCGGTTGTGACATCCCTGGGACAGGGGCCCTGCCTGTCCGACACAGGGCCTGGCAAACAGTGGGCATACAGAAGGGGCGGCCAGATTACGAGGGGGATTGTTTCTGGCCTGACCCGGCCACGGCAGGCCCGCGAGGTCCTGCTTGGTGCTGGGCTGGGTGCGGCAGGCTTTGCACAAACTTCGGAGCCTCCCCAACCCCCCAGGCCCCAGGGTACAACAGAGGCCGCAGCGAGGGGATCAAACTTTCTTTGCCAAAGGGGGGCCGCAAGGACGCCCCGCGCGAGCCAGAGAGCCTAGGGTACATTGGGCCCAGCACAGTCCGCAGCAAGGTGAGAGCGAGGGCTGTGGGGGAACGAGCAACCCGCGATGGTGGAGGAGCTGAGGATCTCACTTGCTCCGCCCCACCCTCCTCGCCCAGACTACAGCCTGCCGGCCACTTGCGCGCGCACGTATGGGGGCGGAGCAGGCGCGCCAATGACACCCGCCCAACCAATGGGAGCGAGGCAGACGGCTAGCACTGGAGAGATAAACACAGCCACGTGACCGCTCGGCCCGCCCCCAGCACAATAAACAAGCTGTGGGCCGCCGCGCCCCAGCAAGCCTTAGGCGGCTGGGGCTGGGTACGGGATTTGGAGGGTCCGGCCAGCCTTTCCCAGGATGAAGGGGCGCGCTGCCTGCTGTGACGCAGGTGTCCCGGGGGCAGGTGGCACGACAGAGCGGAGCTAGGCATCCCCCCCAATGTAAACTGCCCCAAATGAGAAGCGCAGTGATGGGCTTGAACTCAAGACTACTGGGATCCAGGGTTGGGCAAGTGATGCCCTCCCTCTGTGGCCTCATACTAATGCTGGATTCCCAATAATCCCTTTGCTTGTGGTTGGCCTGAAAATTTAGATGTGTTAAGTCATCCAACGCACTCTGATGGATGTGATACCTGATGAAAGCAAATCAGCATTAAAATCAATTTCAGAAACCTGGAGTGGGCAAAAGCCTGTCAGGGCAGGACCAGGAGCTCTGTGGCTGCTGGCCAACCCCAGCCTTGGAGAAGGAAGACACTCCTACCCTGTCCGTGGCAGGGGTCAGTGACAGCCTTTCAGCAAAGCCCAGTGGGTCTCATTTCACAGAAGAGGAAACGGGCCACACAGAGGTTGAGGGTTTTGCTTTGGCTCACAGGGCTGATACATCTAACAAAGGCAAGGTTGTCCCCAAAGCCTGAGCTCCTCCTACTGACCTAGCCAAAAGGCCAATAGGTAAGAGACTCCTGGTCATCTTTGGTGGAGCTGGCTCAGCATTGCAGGGGACAGATCCACAAGCCCCAGGGTCAGGCAGCCTGCAAGTCAGCTCTTCCCTGCAAGTCAGCTCTTCCCTCTTGCCTTGACCCTGGGCAAAGACTCTTCTGTGCCTCAGGCTTCTTTCCATCTGTAAAATGGGTCACTGTGCAGCAATAGTGGACTGATGCCTGCCTCAAAATGGGGGCTTATTCACTGGCAGCTTAGTTACTGCTTTTTGCTTGTATATCCTTACTAAAGCTCCATGGAGCCAATACTTCCCCAGTGAGAAAAGAAGTCATCCCGGATGTAGGAGCAGCAGGGTCCTGGCCAGGTTGAAATGAGAGTTGGGGACCTGGGGTGCAGAGAGCACCTGTTACTGACAATTCACATCCTCTGCCCCACCTGCTGTGCCTTCCAGAAAGAACAAGTGAGTCCGTCAGCCACCCCTGCTGGGGAAGAGGACAGGCACTTGACTGTTGTTGAGGAGAGAAAACAGGCAAGGCACAGAAAGGCTCGGCAGGGTCCTGGCCCGGTGTGATGTGCATTTAAATCACTCACGATTAGTAACAGAAGCTTTCCTGCCCAGGGGTGAGGAAGGTGGCGTCTGAGCAGGAGAATCCCACCCCCAGGAGAGCCCCCAAGCCCAGCCAAGGCCCCTAGGCCTGCGGAAACAGCCTGCCCAACCCCCCACCTCTTTTCTCAGCCTCGCCTCCCCCCAGGGGGCAACTGCAGTTGGAGCTGGGGGCTCTGGCTCTCCTCCCTCACACAGAGATAGCAAGAAGTTACACAGGTTGGCAGATTTGTTTTTTGCACTGAGCTAAACCTCTAGCTCTTTTTTTAGTTTTTGTTTTGAGAAAGAGTCTCACAGGGCCGGGGACTTAGCTCAATGGTTTCACTGCCTGCTGCGCAAGCACAAGGACCCAAGTTCAATCCCCGGCACCACAAAAAAAAAAAAAAAGAGAAAGGGTCTCACTAAGTCGCTGAATTGCCCAGGTAAGCTCACACTTGCTGTCTTTCCAGACTGTTGTGATTACAGCCATGTGCCACACACCCAGCTGAGATTGTTTTTTCTTTTTTTTTTGGAGACAGGGTCTCCTATGTAGCCCTGGCTGGCCTGGAACTCATGGCTATTCTTCTGCCTCCTGCCTGCTGGAATGACAGGCTTGTGCCACCACGCCCAGCCTACAGTATATTCTTTTAATGACCTCCTGTCTCTGGGTGTCAGTTTCCCCATCTGAAAAGATAAACGTTTTAGTCTAAGGCTATTTTGAGCTCCAGTTTACAATGGAATCCCCTAGGTCCCTTTCTTGGGTGGAGCAAATGAAAACAATTTTTTTTTTTGGTACTAGGGATCGAACTCGGGACCTTGTGCCTGCAAGACAGGCGGCGGAACCACTGAACTAAATCCCCAGCCCGAAAACAACTTTTGAGGCCTACCTATCCAACTTTGTGTTCACTGTAAATGTTTATTACAGCACAGGGTCTGCAATGCATATCCATCATCTAATCCTGGGAACAACCCAGCCAAGAAGACTTTACAATTGCAATTAAAGGCCAGGAAGGAGAGACCAGCCCTGCTGGGGGCCTGTTCAAGGGCTGACAGCTGCTAATGGGCCGCCTGGCCTGGAATCCAGGACCAAAGGGATGGGGGGGGTGGGGGAAGGAATAGAAGGCAGGTAGAAGGTGTTCCCAGGTCATCTGGTTAAGCAGGGCTTCCAGGTTCCAGAAGTCCACTGGAGGTCACAAGAAGCAGTAATGAGCGTCGATGTGGTGGGCTCAGCGAGTTAAGAAACAAGCAGGGGATAGGGCGTAACTAGACAGTACTTGCCTAGTAGGCAGAAGGCCCTGGGTTCCATCCTCAGCACCCCACTCCACACCCCCCAAAAGAAACATGCAGGCTAGGACCAGAGCACTGGACAGAAGCAGCAAGAGCCCTTGCTCTGGGGTGGCCTCCCACTTTCTGATGTTCTACCTGGCAGAGGTGTTTGCCTTTTCAGAAAAGGTAAAAGCGGGAAAAGGAATTTTTTTTTGTACCGGGGATGGAACTCCAGGCTGCAGCACCACTGAGCTAAATCCCCAGCTCATGGGAAAAGGAAGTTTTTAATACTGGGGGCCTTTGTTTAGAGAAGGAACCCTTTCAAAAGATGTAGTGGGGCTGGAGATTTAGCTCAGTGGTTCCACCACCTGCCTTGAAAGCACAAAGTCCAAGTTTGATTCCCGGTACCAAAAAAAAAAAAAAAGATGGAGTCTACAGAGGAGGAAAAACAATAGGCAGAAGCTGGATGCCAACTGGCTGGTGACCAAGGCCACTGTGATGCCTGCCAGGCACAGGCCAGGCAGGGGTCAGGCTTCAGCTGTCACCTAGGCTCAGCTTGTCCCCCTTCACCAGGCCAGAAGTGCACCTAAAACCAGTGAGAGGTCCTCCTCAGCCCCAGGGGTGAAGGGAGGGATGAGCACTATCCGCCTGCTGCAGGGCCCTCTGAGCATGTGCTCAGGCGAGAAGCACAGGCCTGGACCGATAAACCCATTTAGCAGAAAGAGAAGCTGAGGTACCGTGGCCTGTCTTCTCCTGTTGTCACTCCATACCCTAAACCACCCAGGACCTAGGTCAGCCCCCATGGCACAGCAGAGCAGAAAGCAGATCACATCCCCTGGGGCAGAGGGGCTTGAGAACCAGTCTCCAGGAAAGCCTGGGCCAGGGCGCCTGCAGACCAGTGGAGAGGCCCCGACTAGGTCTTCCTGCCCCTAACAACTCCGTGCCGGGAGGTGATTGGCTGATAAGAGGCCTTCTGTTTGGCCCTCAGCAGGAGAGGCCAGGCAGCTGGGATAAGGTCTTAGAGGCCATCTTTGTGCCTCTAGTCCCCTTGATGGGAGGCTGGTGAAGCACTGGAGAGATTTGCAAACGGGAAGACCTAGTTCAAGTTTCAACTCTGCCTCTACATGCTGTGTGACCTAAGGCAAGGTACTCACCCCCTCTGAGCATGTTTCCTCATCTTGTGAGCTCAGGATCATCCCCTCCTCACAAGGCCTGGGAACTTGGCACTTTCCAAAGGTCTCTGGCTCTGCCCTTCCTGTGCTTTACCTGCTGAACCAGGGCCCCTGGGCCTGGCTAGCATCTCTGCAGCCAAGTGCTGAACCCTCCCTGCCAGCTTCCCAGGGAAGTTAGAGAGAAGGGAGAGGAGAGGGGGGCACAGAGCTCAACACTGGGGGCCAGGGAAAGCTGGACACCGGCCTTGACCCTCTTGGGTGCCAGCCCCTCTGATAGCAGAGAGGAAACTGAAGCCGAGGGAAGCTGATGACTTAAAGAGTTGGCTGTCCAGTTACAAAAGCAGATGGAGCTAAAAGCTAGGCAGGGCCAGGCAAAAAAACAGGTGGAGGGATGGACAGACAGACGGACAGACACAAAGGAGCTTACTTGGGGGGCCATCCTTTCCACTTTACCAGATACTCCACTTTGCCCTGGAAGAGAGAGAAATGGATGTGGTGAGACATGCACTTGCCCCTACACCACTCCCACTGAAGGTTGAAAGGACCTCAGCCCCAAATTCTCCTGCAAATGGGTGTCCCTGATGAACACACCCCAGGGACCCCTCATCACCAGATCCCTGACAACCCAGAGAGCCTGAACACTGGCTGCTACCTGACCACCCAGTTTCCCCTCTCCACTACAGCACAAGACTGCCTCAGACCCCCAAAATTCCTGGGGCCCCTGGGATCCAAACTCAAGAGCTCCCACCACACATGGGGAAACAGGCCACATGGGGCCATGTGTGCAAGATGAGACCCAGTGATGAGCATCTCGGTGCCAATACCATGCCTCTTTTCCTTTCGAGATTAGAAGATTCCAAGTGGTAGGCCATTCCTCCCTGGGGTGTTCCCCACAGCTCTACCCCTATCAGCCAGCTGCTGGGAGAGGCTGCCTCTGGCCTGGAGGCAACTGCAGTTAGGACTCTTGCTGCAAAAGACCCTGGCAGGATCCTAGAAAAGACAGACAGTCTCCACCTTCAAGAAGGGTGGTCTGCCCTCCAGCTGTTAAGAAACAGCTGTCATTCCCCCCTCTTCCCAAAGGATGGGGGTCTTTAAAGTGTGTCCCACCCCTTTTAGTGGGTGAAACTTCTCCATACCAGAACTTTAGGCCCAAGACACAGCACCTTCTCAAAGGTGCTGTGGTCCCTGGGCACCCTTTCCACGCTGCTCCTCCCTGGCACCTGACAGTTCTTTTTGCAAAGTGCAAAGCCCAGCCAAAGGCATCTGTATTTACTTCCTTATTCGTCCTGCACCTTCCCAGCCTGAATGCCAGCTCCAGGAGGGAAGGAAGGCAGCCCTGGGCTTACAATCGTGTCTGGACACAGCAGATCCGGAGTGACGTTTGGAGTGCCTGGCTGAAGGGTGAAAATCTCACGCTTTCCCACCACCCCTCCAGCCTGCTACAGAAGGGACCATCGCTGCACCTGTTTCAGGCTATACGTCACGGGAGACACCAGCCTGTACAGAATAAATTGATCCTCTTTTCAGCTGAGAAAACCTGGGGAGGGGTTAGGAGAGGTAGCCCCAACCAGAAGACAGAACGGAACCCCAAGTGGAGTCGGAGGAAGGTAAGAGGCTGACCGCTGGTCGGTCCAAGACGCCAGGGCTGGGTTTTCTCCATGGAAAGGTAGGCTCAAGATCGGCCAACCTGAGCACATGTTCTCTACCTCCAACTCTTAACTTGCCATGGACCCTTGGGCGGGTCATCTGCCTGGGCCTCAGTTTTTGCCTCTGACAAATGGGAGGAGCTGACCTCCAAGAGCCTCCCAACGGGCTGCTGGGAGGAGAGGCGGGAAGAGGACCGTGGAGGAACTTTTCCTGGAGGCCCCCAGCTCCCAAACCCCAGCCTGGGATGAGATCTCTGGGGAGACATGTACACGTGCAGACGACCAAGTCGGTACATCCACAGAGGTATGCGGCCCCGAGCCCAGCACAACACCCGCCTTTTAAATTGCAGGTGTACGTTTGGAAGGCGGAGGCAGAGGGGGAGGAGCTCCGAGGACGCCCCAACACGGCTTCAGAGCGGCAGGCGGGGCTGGGAGTTGGGGGCGGGGTGGGGTGAGGGGTGGAGAAGAGGGGTGTGCGTTGGGGGTTGGGATTAAAAAGGTCAAAGTCCAACATGAATATTTCAGTAACAGTGGAAGACTCTTCCAAAGCTCCTCCAACTTCAAATGACTTAGTACTAAGAGTCTGGACTTTCTCGAGTTCGAGACCCATCCCCGACACTACAGCACTAGGCAAGTTGTTTCCCCTCAACTCCGGCCTCTGTCTCCCCATATTCTGAATGAAAGGGGGATAAGACAGGATGGCACTCAGCATCGCCCCCCTCCCCGGGCTGATCTTTATCTTCGGCTCAGGAGGGCTCAGCTGCCCCCAGCATCTCGAGGCCATAACTTTGATTCTACTCGCCCTACACTGTAGCTGGGAAACTGAGGCACGGGCTGAGGAGACTGGCCAGCATCTCAGGACTGCCTGGGCCCCCGCGCCACTTTCCCCGCTCCCCACCCTGGAGGGGGTGGTGCTGGGGACCGGAGGCGACCCCTCCGAGGTCCCGGGAGCAGCCCCGGGCAGCCTCACCTTCCGCACGCGCTTCTTCCGGATGCTCTCCACCGCGAACACCTGCTCCCCAATGGCTGACAGCTCCATGCGGGGCGGCGGGCGAGCGGGCCCGGAGCGGGCCGGGCCGGGGGCGGAGCTGCGGGGCCGCGGCTGCTGCGCGCGATGCTCGGGCCGGCGGGGTCCCCGTCACCCTCGGCCGGGCGCGCACGCGCACGCGCACGCGCGCACACCCCCTCGCGCTCCCTCACGCTGTCGACGTTCCATTTTTGAACCTGCGCAACGTTTTCCTCCGCGCCAGCGAGGGAGCCAGCGGGCAGGCGGGCGCGCGCGGGCGGGCGCGCGGAGGGGGCGGGGAGGGGCGGGGCAGAGAGCGAGCCGGCCGGCCGCCAGGCTCTGCTTGAGCCCTCCGGGTCAGCCCTGCCCCTCTCCGTCGAGCCCCGCCCCCGCCGGCCACGCGCTGCTCAGCAGAGCCGCGCGGCGGCGGGACTTATTTGGTGCTGCGCGGTCTGTGAGCTGCGGTCGCGCTCGGTTCGTCTCGCTGCTGGGGGCCTGGCTGGACGCGATCTTTAACTTTGAGGCGCGAGTGCCCAAGTCCTTCCGATGACTCCGGGGACGTTGCCTCATGTCCTACAGCGCCAGAGGCCTGGCGGGGTCGTCGACCCTGGTCTGCTGGACAACGGGGACAGCGAGGTCCCTGGCGTCGCCGGATCCTGCTCGCCGGACCCTGCTCCGGAGTGGCACGTCCGACCGGCGGTGTGCAGAGCAGCCCGCAGGGTCCCCAGGTCCCCCAGGCCCGACAGCAGCTCGCCACGGCGGAGATGAGGTGTACGGGGGGGGGGGCGCTTTTTGCTGCCATGCTGTCTGTCTTGCTAATGAATGAATGGATCTTGAGATCCAAGACAACTGATTACCCCCAACCATCTCAGTCCCGTTTTACGACCGCACCTCCATTCTTCCCTGCCAAGAACCCGGAGTCAGCCTGGCGTGGTGGCGCACACCTGGAATCCCAGGACTTGGGAGGCTGAGGCAGGAGGATCGCCACGAGTTCCAGGCCAGCCAGGGCTACATAGTTCAAGGGCAGCCTGAACTACATAGCGAGACCCTGTCTCAAAACAAAAAAAGAACCCAAAGTCGTCCTGTCCGCCCCGTCTTAGTTTCTTGAGCTGATCCGGAGTCCGGCCCCGCGATGACCCCGGGGCTGCCCAGCCGACACCCCCACCCTGCGCCCTGGTTCACGGCCACATCCTCCTCCCGGAGTGCGGGTCCTCACCGGTCCTGGTCCACGCCTTGCCAGAGTGCTTTGTAAAATGAGCATGTGACTGGGTCATTTGTGTTTAGCAAAGTCCCATAGCGCCCTGTTTCTCTTAGGATGAAATTTAGCGCACAGGAAAAGAGAATGTTAGACTTATACCTGATATTTTTAGCAAGAGAAGCCAAAAGGCAGTAGGATAACATCAAACGCCTGGAGAGAAAATAATCATCATCCTAGAATTAGGTATCCAGTGAAAAGATCTTTCAAGAACTGTGTATCCACTGAAAATATCTTTGTAGAATGAGAGTGAAATAATGACATTCACAAATACAAACACTAAGACTTTGTCCCTCCCTAAGGGGAATTCCAACGGAGGAATTTCGGGGATGGAGGAAGATGATCAGACTGAGGTCTGTTGCAATACGGAAGAAAAAACAATGAAGACCATTGATAATATAAAATAGCAACTGTCTTCTGGATAAAAATAGAATTAAAATACGCAATAGTCGTGGCATATAAACTTGACTGGGTGGAGGTACCGCGTTCTAAGACCTGACATTCTTCAGAAAGAAAGTGAAGATAGGGGCGGAGATTTAGCTCAGTGGAAGGAACCGCGCCTGCCTGAAAGCCCAAGGTCCTGAGTTCAATCCCCGGTTCCAAAAAAAAAGAAAGAAAGAAAGTGAAGACGGCTGAGCTGAAAATCCAAGTTGCCATCACTAAGAAAAACAGAGAATGGGAATACAGTGTGTGATATTTATCTAAATTATTGGAATAAAAAAAACCAACCCAAGCAATCCTGAGGCCAGCAGGAAAAAATAAATACAACTGGTGGGACAAAAAGATGATAGGTATTCACTCAAAGATTCTGTAATTGAGTAAGTACAAGTGGACTAAATGTTGTGGTTAATATACGAAGCTTAGCAGACTGCATAAATTCCAACTTGGTGCCATTTGGATCACTGATATTTCCCAAACATACAGATACTAAATGATTGAAAGTGCGTGGAGGGAAATGGCATGCAAAAGCTAACTAAAAGAATGTGGGTGTGGGTTTTTTAATATATGGAAAGGATCACTAGAGACAAAAAGGGTCACTTCATAGAGAAAAGGATACAATTGACCAGGAGGGTAGGACAATTTCAAATTTGTATCCAGATACTAAAGTCATTCAAGGAAACAAATAGAACTACAAGAAATAGACAACCACAATTACAGACTATGGATCCAAATTATAGATTTTAAGACATATTCCTCTATAATCAGCAGAACAAGCAGAAAAAATATTCCTAAGGTTAGATTTGAACAATGTCATTAATAAACTTGATGATATTTACCAAAACAGTGTTCAAAAGCCTGAATCATATAAAGTATATTTTCTGACATCGACCTATTTAAGCTAGAGATCAGCAAGGACCCAAGTTCGATCCCCGGTACCCAAAAAAACCACAAAAAACCCCCCATAAGCTAGAGATCAATAACTGATAGCCCCTTGTGTTTGGAACATAATTTTGAAAGAACTTTGAAAGCCCCCTCAGTTTGGAAATTAAGTATGTTTCTAAGTAACTGATGGAACAAAAAGAAAAAAGTCAATTGAAATCATAAAATATATCAACTGAATGAGAATGGAAATGTTACATATTAAGATTGTGGGCTATTACTAAGGGAGTACAGTACTTAAAATATTTTAGCACTTATTTTGGAAAATAGAAAGTCTGAAAATAATGGCCAAGCACTGATTTCAAAAAGCTAGAAAAAGAATAGCCAAGTAAGCCAAAGAAATCACATGGAAGGCAAGAAGAGAGTAAGGGCAGAAAGTAATGAAATGGGATCAAATGGGCTGGAGATTTAGCTCAGTGGCATCACACCTGCCTCACAAGTGCAAGGTCCTGAGTTCTATCCCTGGTACAAAAAAAAAAAGATAGGATCAGAAAACGTGGTTTTTTGTTGTTTGGGGGTTTTTTTTGTTTTTTTTGTTTTGGTACCAAGGATCAAACTCAGGACCTTGCGCTTGCAAGGCAGACAGCAGAACCACTGAGCTAAATCCCCAGCCCAGTTTTCTCTAGGAAAAGACTTAAGAGTGTTGCTAGCCCTTTGGTGAAATTGACCAAGAGAACAGAGGGAAGACACAGTGGGCTGACCCTGGTCATGACACCAGTGTGTAGTACAGGAGGCGATGCCTGACCCCAGCACAGACTGATTTATAGAGGGCTGGCGGACCTGGGTCAGAGTGTTCAGGTGACTGGCAGTGCGGCTGTGTACTGGTGCAGCTGGTATGAACGTGTCTGGGTATTTCAGTGACCTGAAGTCTTTTGCATAAGCTAAACAGACCTCCCCTTAATCACGAAAGGAAATGGGTGGATTGTTAGTGATGGTCCCCACAAAGAAACCCAGACCCAGAGGGCTTCACCTGTGGTTTATTTTAAAAAGAAATCATTCCAGTCTTAACCCCAACATCCCCACATAAGAGGAAGAGGAATTCCTCCTAATTCTTTGTATGACAAGTACAGTACAAAAAAGGAAAATTATAGACCAGTGTTACTCATGAAGAAAGATACAAAAAAAATCTGAAAGCATTAGCAAATCAAACCTGGCAGTATATAAAAAGTGATAATACTTTGTGATAAAATTAGGCTGGTTTAACTTTGAAAATCAATTTAAACTAGGAGCAGTGCCTCAAGCACTGATTTGGGAGGCTGATCACAAGTTCAAGACCAGCCTGGGCAACTGGGTAGGAAAAACCCTACCCTAAGACAGAAAAAGGAGGAGGAGGAGGAGGAGGGGGAGGGCAGCTGGGGATACAGCTCAGTGGTAAAGCACCCCTGAGTTCAATCCCCAACACGGGGCGGGGAGGCGACAAACTAGCTCAGTCAGGGTGTTTCACCACATTAGAAGATCAGAGGTGGAAGACATATCATCTCCATAGTTCCAGGAAAAAGCCAGCATCTGTTATGTTATTAAAATCCTAGCAAACTAGGAATCCAGGGAATGTCTTTATCCTGGCATCTGCAAAAACAAAACAAAACCTCTAGCAAGTATCCTACTTGATGGTAAAATGTTCCAAGCATCCCCTTGAGATGGGTAACAAGCAAGGGAGGCTGTAGTCCCTGTTTTGTAACACTTCCCCCCTAATATCGGACATCTGTTCCCCACCTGGGGGGGCCACCAGCCACAGTCACCCCTGAGCATCTGAAATGCGACTAATCCAAATGGGATAGAGGAGTAAAGTTAAATACCCACCAGGTTCCAGTCTTAGGACTCACAAAACTCACTGTAAAAGTCTCAATTATGTTGCTATCAATTACATTTTGAAATGATAATATTATTAATACATTAGATAAATGAAATATATTCTAAAAATGAATTTAATTAACTTAATCTGTTCCTTTCAAATTTTGTATGTAGCTGTTAGAAAATTTCAAGTTATGCCTGTGTCTTGAATCTATGGTTTTCATAAGATTCCTCTTCAACAGTGGTGTCCTACACAGAAAAACAACAAAATGAAAGAAAAGAGTATTAAAATAAACAAAATTCTCATCATTTTCACAAATTTTAAAAAGCTTTTCAGATTATTCATTAGAATTAATAAGAGAATTTAACAAAATTGTTGGACAAAACTAGTATACAAAAATCTATTTTCGTTTGTCCTCATGCTAACAATCATAAAGTTAAAATAGATATTATTTCTACTTTAAAATATGTAAAATAGGAATAATAAATTAATAAAATGTGCAAGGCCCTTATGGAAAAAAATCATACAATTTTATAGAGCAACAGTAAGATCTACAAATGCTGAGTTGAGCCACATGCATAGATTGAAGACACAAAAGTGGGACAATGCTAATCACCACACGTGTTTAATTATTTTGCACCTTGATGAGCTAAATTTAAAGTTTACATGGAAGTGAAACAGTTGAGCCCAGCCAAGAACTTTTGAAGAAGAAAGAAGGAGAGAAGCAGATGGTGGTGATAGAATAGTCCCCGGCAGATATCCAGACAAGGCAAATAAGGCAGTGTTCTATTGACACAAGACTAGACAAAGAGGGGATCGGAATAAAAATGAGAGCCCTCCTAGATATATACGAACAGACAGGAGAAAGACTATAGAGAGCATATAGATAGAGAAACTCTGTATAGAAAGGGACTATATATATAAAGACTATGTATGTATAGAGAAACTATGTATAGGGTGTATGTAAGAAAGACTATTAGACTATAAGAGGATATAGAGAGACTATAAGAGAGAGACTACATAGGGCCTCATTTGTATATAGAAAAAGACTACATGCAACTATAGATGATAGAAAATATAGAGAGACTGGGGCTGGGGACTTAGGTCAGTGGTTCTGCCGCCTGCCTCACAAGCACAAGGTCCCGAGTTCAATCCCTGGTACCAAAAAAACAAAAAAGAAAGACTATATATAGAGACTATGTAGAAACTATCTAGAGAGGCTACATAGAAGTCATATACATATATAGATTATAGAGACCATATGTGGACTATAGTGAATATACAGAAAACTATGTAGAGAAACTATACATAAGGCAATACAGAGACATATATATATGCACACAAAAATTAAATATATACACAAAGAGCAGAAAGAGAGACTAAAATTTGGTCAGTAGGTAAAGAATGAATTTTTCAGTAAATAGTACTAAGATCATTGATTATCCAAATATGAAAAATGAATTTGAGTCTCCTATCTCTTGAAAAGTGACTCCATAAGACCTAAAAACCTTATAATGTAAAAGACAAAACTTTGGAGCTTCTACATGATATTAAAAAATACCTTTATGACCATGAAATAAAGAATAATTTCTTAAGAAACAAAGAGCAAATATATATATATATATATATATATTTGTGAGGGCCAGGGATTTAGCTCAGTGGTTCCACCACCTGCCTCGCAAGTGCAAGGTCCCGAGTTCGATCCCCGGTACAAAAAAGAAAAAAAAGAAAAAAAGAGCATAAGTCAGATAGGAAACAGTTGATAATTTTGACTACATTAAAACTATGAACTCTCCCTTTCAGGTCCTCCCTTCCAAGATGACCAAAAAAAGAAGGAACAACAGTCGTGCCAAAAATGGCCGCGGCTGTGTGCAGCCTGTTCGCTGCACGAACTGCGCCCGGTGCGTGCCCAAGGATAAGGCCATTAAGTCCCTCATTCGAAACATGGTAGAGGCCACCACGTCAGGGACATTTCCAAAGCGAGTGTCTTCGACTCTCATGTGCTTCCCAAGGTCTATGTGAAGCCGCATTATGGTGTGAGTTGTGCCATTCACAGCAAGGTGGTCAGGAATCGATCCCCTGAAGCCCGGAAGGACCTAACACCTCCGCCCCGATTTAGACCTGCTGGTGCTGCCCCACGACCCCCACTAAAGCCCATGTAAAGACCTGAGTTTTAATGGACTGAAGAAAAGTCGTCTCCGGGCAGAGGGAATGAACTAATAAAATGGACGTTATACTTTAAAATAAAAAACGAAACCATGAGCTCTCTATCAAAAGACTATATAGTGAACTGAGAAGCAAAATATTTTAAACTCTCATAAATTGACAAAGTAGGCCAGGTGTGGTGGCACACGCCTGTAACCCAGGCTACTGGAGAGGCTGAGGGAGGAGGATCACAAGTTTGGGGTCCACCCGGGCAACTTAGCAAGACCCTGTATCAAAAATAAAGTCTGGGGCCGGGGATTTAGCTCAGTGGTGCCACCGCGTGCCTTGCAAGCGCAAGGTCCCAAGTTCAATCCCCGGTACCAAAAAAAACCCCCCAAAATAAAGACAGTCTTGGGTGGTAGATCAGTGGTACAGAGCTTTCCTGGCCTGTGTGATCCCTGGATTTACTCCCCAGTACTGCAAAATAAGTAAATACAAGAGCTGATCAAAAATACACTGTGCAGGGCCGGGTATTTAGCTCGGTGACACCGTGCCTGCCGCACAAGTGCAAGGTCCTGAGTTTGATCCCTAGTACCAAAAAAAAAAAAAAAAAAATACACTGTGCATTTAAATTTTTTAAAAATTTGTGTTTATGAGGTGTGATCAAAAACATGGTGAATTCTGCTGCTGTCAGGTGCCATCTGACGTAAAGGCAAGCTCATAAAAATATTACAGCATGTCCTCATTCATCTTAGTCACCAGGTCTGGTACTGTGTGACTTCTGGCTCTTCCCCAAAGTCAAAACAACCATAAGAGGTAAACATTTTGAATGGATCCAGGACGTTGAGGCAGCCATGACACTCAACAAAAGAGGACTTCCAGAACTGCTTCAGAAAGTGGCAAGGATGATGGGATAAGTGTGTTCGAAGTAAGAGGGAAGATTGTTTTCTTTTTTGGTACCAGGGATCAAACTCAGGACCTTGGACTTGAAAGGCAGGCACGGTGCTACTGATCTACATCCCCAGCCCTAGGGGAAGGTTTTTTGGTTTTTTTTGGAGGGGGGAAGGTTATGATGGAAATTAATGGCAATGTCTTGAAAGTGTGTAATGGAAAACATGTTTTAAAATGTTCATTGCAGCATTATTTGTAAAACCTAAAACTGGAAAAGACTCCCCAGTGCAGCAGGCTGGGCAAGTGAGGTCCAGAATGTTCACACACAGGATTATTATACAGGCTGAAACTGAGGGAACTACAGAGATCCATGCCAACCTGAGTGAATCTTTCAAAATAATGTTGAACAAAAGAGCGCAGCCCGCATGGTGTAAAGGACAAAAAGAAAGCAAGAACCCTGCAAAGGCAGAGATCACAGACTGATTTCCTCACGAGCAGAGAGGTGCCTGGGATCCGTCCTGGCGAGGCGCCCTTTCTTAATTTAGGAGTTGATTGCATAATTTAAAATTATTTTTTTTCTTTAAAGGTGTGAATCCTTTATACACTTTCATGGGTGTGCTATGTATCACAGTGCAAAGATTAAATGTATACATAGGAGGCTGAGGCAGGAGGTCACAAATTTGAGGCCAAGCTGGAAAACTTAGCAGGACCCAGCCTCAAAGTAAAAAATAAAGAGGGCTGGAGATACAGCTGAGTGCTAGGGTGCCCTACATTCCATCCCCAGTAATGCTAAGAAAAATTAAGATTAAAAAATTAAATTTAGGGCCAGGGATTTAGCTCAGTGGTTTCGCCGCCTGCTGCACAAGCGCTAGGACCCGAGTTTGATCCCCGGTACAAAAAAAAAAAAAAATTTAAGTTTAGGGCTGGGGATTTAGCTCAGTGTTTCCAGCGCCTGCCTTGCAAGCAAAAGGTCCCAAGTTCAATCCCCGGTACCAAAAAAAACCAAAAAAATAAAAATAGTTTAGGAAAAACTGGAACTGAAAGAGAAATACTAAGATTAGCAGGAAAACAAACCGAATCAAAAGAAAATAAAGATAATTGAGGATGTAAAAGATGACTTTGGTAAAAGCTGTCCAGAGTTATTTTAGGAGATGCCATACCACAAAACAAAAGCAAGGTACTTTGAGAAGGGAAAAGTCAGAAAACAAAAAAGTTTTTAACATTAAAATATTTCTGTAATTTAAAAGATCAGTAGAAGGGTTAGTGTTCTCTAGAACTTAGAATAGAAAGCTGGGAAATATGAAAGAAAAGACAAGCAATATAAACTGGACACGATGCCTGTAATAGCATTCTGGGAGGCTGAGGCAGGACGATCACAAGTTTCAGCCTAGCCTGGGCAATCTAGTGATTTAGTGAGACCCTGACTCAAAAAATTTTTTTAAAGAAGGGCTGGGGATGTAGTTCAGTGCAAATGCCCTGGGTTCAGATGGTCTAATAACTGCTATCTGAAATTCTAGAAGGAGAAAGTAGGATGAAGGGGGAGGAAAGGGGCAGAAATGAGCAACTAAAAAGAGCTTTTGGAGCTGAAGGGATACACAAGTGGAGAGGGCCCCTCAGTGCCAGGTAGAATGGGTTTTTAAAAGCCTGACCCCTGTACACACTGAGAAATATCCCAAACATCATGGATAAAGAGAACGTTAAACAAAAAGCTTCCTCTTTTTAAAAATAAATCACAAAAAGAGAAATATGAACCACTCTTACATCAGCAAGAACAGAGGCCAGCAGAGGCGGAGGCAGGGTTTCAAATTCTAAGAGGAAATTACTTTGAACATGATATTGTATACTTTCTGGGCAGTTAAAATGTTTCTGTATAACAGAAAATATGGCTTACAGTGCCATAAGCAAGAGCCTGTTCTTCTCTTCTAATAATATCTATTGTCCTTTTGGAAAGGAGCCGTGGCTTGCTTTTTTGGTGGATCAGTGGCCTCAGGGCAAGCATCTGTGTGATTCCACCTTGTATTTGTTCCCACATGGTCACAAAATGATTGCTACTGCTGCAGACATCACACTTATATCCACTGCATCCTGAATGCAAAGGAAAGAAAAGATGGTGTCATGCACCTGTGTTCTTCCCTTTTATCTTGATTTTGTCAGTAAAGCAAATCTTACCCAGAAAACCCAAGCAAACTTCTGCTGATGGTTTAGTTGCCATATATGTGTCAAAGAGTTCCTCCTGGAGGCCAGAGTCTGAGAAAGCAAGTACAGAGTCAAATAAATTGTTGCCTCACGCATTGATAAGGAGCTCCATTAACAAGAAAGGGATTTAGCTCAGTGGTTCCGCTGCCTGCCTCGCAAGCACAAGGACCAGAGTTCGATCCCTGGTACCAAAAAAAAACAAGAAAGGGGTGGTGAAATGAGTATTGGCTGAGCAACTAGCAGGTTAGCTTCACTTGCCAGAATCAAATGTGAGGGCCAGATAAAGTCACCAGGGAGTTTAAATCCTCCAACTTCCTTCTTCTTTTTCAAACTTCTTTTGACTTTCTAGTCCTTTGCATTTCCATCCAAAATTTAGAACCAGCTTGTCGGTTCCTCCCCTCTTCCCTCTACAAAAAAAAAATGCTTGGAGTTCTTTCAAATCTCTAGAGCTATTTGAAAATCATTTATTTATTATTTTTTTTAATATCACATTTTATTTGGATAAAACTACAGTTTTTTGTTTGTTTTTGGTACCGGGGATTGAACTCAGGTCCTTGCGCTTGCAAGGCAGGCAGTGTAACCACTGAGCTAAATCCCTGGCCCTGAAAATCATTTATATTTTAACAATATTTAATTTTCCAAGACCTGTTCTGTCTCTCCATTTGTAGGTCTTGCTTTATTTCCGTCAGCAATGTTCTGTCCTGAGGGGAGGGGTGCAATTGCTGCTTGTCTTTGTTATTTGTCCCTTTGTGTCCCACTGCCATTGTAAGTTGTATTTTTTTTTTTTTTTTTTTGGTACCAGGGATCGAACTTGGGTCCTTGCGCTTGCGCAGCAGGCGGAGAAACCACTGAGCTAAATCCCCAGCCCTGTAAGTTGTATTTTAATGTTTAATTGTTCATGACTACTATATTAAATTAAATTTTTTTTTAATTCTTTTTGTGGTGCTGGGGATTGAAACCAGGGCCTTGGGCATGCTAGGTGAGCACTCTTAGCACTGACCTACATGCCCAGCCCCTAAATTTAAATTTTTATGTTGACTTTGTATACAATGACATTACTAAACTCACTTATTAATTTATTAACTTTTTTGGTAAATAACATCCGGTTTCCTATGTAGAGGATCATATCTGTAAATAAAGACAGTTTTAGTTCATTTTCAATCTATACTGTTTCTTTTTCTTGCTTTATTGCCCTGGCTAAAATTCTAGGGAAGTATAGAAAGTGGATATCATTTATTCCTGATCTCAGGGAGAAAGCATTCAAAGTCAAATGTGAAATAACATTTGATTTTGAAAAAATCAATAATAAAGTTAAATCTATAATAAAGTTTGATTTTTAAAGATACCTAAAATTTAATGATTATCCATGTTGAAAGGGCCCAATGCATGAAAATAGTCCTACACCAAGATAAATCATTGTGAAATTTCGGAACACTGGAAATGAAGAGAAAATCCTATGAGTCTCGATGTACGCATAAATAAGGAATGAGAATTGGCTTCAGACTTCTCAACAGCCACAGTAGAAGCAAGAAGACAATAGAGGAATGTCCTGAAGGAGAAGGAAATTCCTGAAGGAGAGGAATTTTCAACCCTGGATTCTATACCCAGCCAAACGAGCCATCAAATGGGGTGGGGAATAAAAGCATTTTTTTGTATAAATGGTCTCCAAATGTTTATTTTTCATGCACCCTTTCCCAGGAAGCTATCAAAAGCTGTTTGGGGGCTGGAGGTATAGCTCAGTGGCACAGCACCTGCCTGCCAAGCACAATGTCCTGAGTTTGATCCTTGGTACCAAAAAAAGTCCAAAAAATGAAAAAGCTATTTGTCACCAAAAAGGAGGGAGTAGAATGAACAGGAGGAAGCTATGAGAGTCAGGGGGATGAGGAGAGAAAGGAAGGAGATTTCCACAGCAACAGGTAGCCCCAGGCACAGAGAGCAGCAGTGCAGACTGAGCCGCCTACAAGGCACCCACGAGCTCTCTGCAAGAGGGAGACACGGATAGGGTGCTGATGTGTCCACAAGGGTGGAGACAGGGTAGGCACCTGCCCGGATGTGCCTGGGGTTGAACTGGCTAAACACATTTTTTAAAAAATGAAACAAAATAAAAGTAAAATAAAAATAAAAAGTGAAACAAAAATAAAAGTAAAAACTCCAAGAAAAAAGTTTAAGTAAGTGAAAGTAATCACATTACACCAAGAGCCCCCCAGAGAGTGCAGCAGTGAAGAGCATTAGCCTAGTGCTAATGCCACAATGCCAGTACTGGGATAGCCAGTAGTGCAGTACCACTGTCCTGGGAGAATGGTGGAAGGGGAGGTGCACAAGGGTGAGAGAGCCATATCCTCCCCCTCTGTGGTACCAAGCGGCAGTAATGTCAGCTTGAACGGTCCAGAAGGAGCACACGGGCCTGCGTTGCACTGTAGGGGTGCAGAGAGTCCACACCCACAGAGCCAGCTTGGAGAATTGAAGTGGGGCCTCTAGAAAGGGGTAAAAGGACAAGGGGTGGTGTGGGGTGTGGCCTGTTATTTTTCTCAATGAACCTTGCAGAACAATATATCTGCATATATAAATCACATAGTATGAGCGTGTGTGTGTGTGTGTGTGTGTGTGTGTGTGTGTGTGTTCATATTACATACAGATTTTTTTTTCCTGGTACCAGGGATCGAACTCAGGACCTTATGCTTGTGAGGCAGGTGCGGTGCCACTGAGCTAAATCCCTGGCCCTAACTATAGAATTTTGATCACAGTAGACAGCAGAGAAGGTACCCTGGGTATAATCTATAAGGGAAGGAAGTGAGGGACAGGAGAGGGCCCTGTGTAGCTGCCTGTGGAAGGACCTGCTGAGAAGCAGGGCTGGGGCCAGCGGACAGGTAAGGAGACTCCTGCAGCTGCCTAGGGAGGAGGCAAGCATGGCCTGGCCCAGAGCCAGCTACTGAGCAGAGAGAGGTGATCAGATGCGGGAGAGGAGGGGGCCCACTAGCTGGGACAGGCAGTGGAGAGGAAGGTCATGTTGGATGCCAGGGTTTGGGAGAAGGGACGCTTTCCTCTTCGAGGGAGGAGAGGCCCTCGCCCTCCTGCCCCCAGGGCTGGCTTTTGGCTTTGGCCTGTGTGTCTCCCAGGCTGTGCACACAGAAGGGCCCGGTACCTGTGATGCGGTTTGATGCTCTGACGTCTTGACATTTGTGTTGAGCGAGGAGCCCGCATTTCCATCTCAACTGGACCCCAGACGATGCAACCAGTCGCACTCCACTCCCCAACACACCTCCGCCTGCCTTGTCGTTCTCTTTTCCCCTGCTGGTGTAGAGTTTAAACCCTCAGCTTCCTGGACCCCCACCTGCATCCCCAGTCTGGGTTCCTGACCTCAGCGACCATGAGCCCACCCTGTGGGTGTCCTGGGCCTTCTGTCCTCACAGAGGGGCCAAGGTTCGTGGCTTGGCGTGACTCCCCTACCAGGGCGCTCAGGAATGCAATCGCTCAGGCCCCACAGGGCCAGGGCCTCCTGTGCGAGTGCACATTCGTGGGCCGGGAGCCATCTTAAGGTTTCCTTCCTCCTAACTCAATGGGTCACCGATCACTGTGACTTCCACGCCGGCCACACCTCACCTCCTGCCTGTGTCCCTCAACGGATCCACCTGGAAGTCCTCCGACCTCCACAGAGGGACTCGGACAAGTGGATGACCACAGCCTTCCCCCTGCTCCTTGTCCTCGGAGCCTCCTCCTGCTCTTCCTCCTAGGAAGTGAGCCACCCCACATCTGCGGTGTCTCAGAGGCTTCTGGCTCCTCCACCCTCCTGTCACTTCCGCTCCCGTCTCCTCCAGCCCACACAGCCACCAGCACCTGTGCCTCAGTTCCCCTCCCAACCCTCCACAGCCTCCGTCTCCACACACATTGTCCCCTTGCTGTCCCTGCTTCCCTCGGATCACGGTTGTGTCCACCTTTCCAAATGAAGTCTCTACTGGCCTCCCCTGCTGCCCGGCCACACCTCTGGATGTCCCTCCTCACAGCCTGAGCCTGCTGTGGGTCTGTGCCTCCGCCACCATCACACTGGGGCAGGCAGGGCTGTGTCAGTCTCGTTTTGACACTCGCACTCTGTCTAGGGCAGAGGCACGATGGGGTTCTGCATTTGTTGAGTGCACAATTACATGCCCAATGAGAGGCTGGTCCCCAGCATGGCACAGGAGGGCAGAAGAGGGAAGATGGGTCTTTGTGACAAGAGGGGGGGCGACTATTAAAAGATCAGTTCCGGATGGAAAACAAGCGAAGAAAGAGGGACAGCTCCAGTGTCGAGCCCTCAGAGCACCAGTACTCGCTTTGACCACCAGGTGGCACCAGGCTCCCGGGTGTCTGGCTGACGCAGCGTTCCGCCCTCGGAGTGTGAAGCCTGCTATAGGTTCAATCTGTCCCCCAGGGAGAGGCCCTCGAATGAGCGTGTCAATCTCGGCCCAGGTCCCCACGCTGATACTGTGTCACTCTGCTTGCAATGCGCAGGCACATTCTGAGTGCTTTACATTTATTCACCCAATTCATCCTCCCGCTGCCCTGGGATGTAGGAATCACTGCCAGCTCCATTCCCCAGAGGGAGCTGAGGCACAGAGAGCATGTGAAGCTTACTAAAGGTAGCACAGCTCGGAGGGAGCTCCTGGCCCATCGAGATCCTAGGATGGGGCTGTCCACAGCTGGGGGCAGGGAGCAAGGAGTGGATGTGATTGGGGGTGGAACGAGTGAGCAGGTGGAGGCAGAGACTTCAGGAAGGCCCCTGGGTCCGGGATGGCAGGGGAAGCCCAAGAGGGGTCAGAGGAGGAGCAGTGGGGCCAGAGAGGGGGATCCTGTGCCATGGAGACACTTTCCCGTGGGGTCTGACTGTCGCAGCTGCTGGAGCCAGGATGGAGGCCAGACATCTGTCCCTAGTGGACCGCTCCCAGCCAGAACCCCTCATTGTACAGATGGGGAAACTGAGGCTCAGAGAGGGGAAAAACTTGCCAGAACCACATCCCTGGGTGGCTCAGAACCAAACAGGAGCTGTGTCCTCAAGGCTCCCAGGGCCTTCCTGTCCCTTCCTGTCCAAGCCGAGTTCCGTGTCTCCGTCACCCCCACCGGCCTCCATGGCCCCCATGCTGCCTGCATCCCCCTCCCCGGACCCAAGCCACCCAGGACCACGGCCCAATCCTGCAGCCACATCTCCAGGCCTAAGATTGCTGTCCCCCCTCCCGCCTCCAGAGGGAGACGGGCAGCAGGGACTACCAGATGACAGGGCAGGAGGACAGGGGTGGGGAGGCATGTCCTTTCCGGGTCCCATCTGAGACTCCCAGTTGCAGACCCGAACCACATCCGCCTGTGTTGGAGACTCCAAGGCCAGGCCCGGCCTGCGATTCATTTCCACCCACCCCTGACCACACCTGCTGCTGCCCCTCAGGATGGCTGCTTTGCCTTCCCCCACCACGCCCAGCCTCTTTTCCTAAGGAACACCCACCCCATGTTTACTCCCTCTCTTCCAGGGGTCCCCCCTTCCCTCTGTCTTACGCTTGGCCTCCTCCACCCGGACCCATGATGCCCCTGTGCTCCACAGCGCCCCCTACTGCAGCAGCCTCTGCTTGGAGGGCTTCTGTCCATGCTTCGAAACTGAGGCATCTCACTGTGGGGTTCCTCAGAACTGGCACTTGGGAGGAGGGACCCTGTGGTCCTGAAGCACCTTTCCTGCACCTGGTTACAGTCCCTGGGGAAGGCCTGTCTCACCCGGAGCGTCTTCTGAGAGTGAGGCATTATTTAGCCTACATTGTGTAGGGAGGGAAAACACAGGCCCTTAGAGCCTTGGAGCTCAGCCAGCCCCTACCTTCGAGCTGTTTGGCTTTGTTTGTTATTTTGGCCTCTTTTTTTTTTCCTTTTTCTTTGGGCTAATTGTTCTCATTAAATCTTTTTGTCCTGTTTTGTTTTTTACGGGCTGACAATGCTGCCCAGTGCTCAGTGCTGCTTCCTGTGTTTTTGCCCAACTCAGGCCTCCATGGGGCCTTGCTTCCTGTTGTGAGCCGTCTCCATGGCAACTCCAGGCCCTGGTGGGCTCCCCTGGGTGGGAGGCACTAGGAGGGGGGACACTGGTGACATCACCAGGTGAGAAGGCAGAAGGCGAGGGGCTGGGGTCGAAGGGTTGGCCAGGCAGGCAGGCTGCAGCGGAGGCGCATTGCTGAGGGCTGACTCACGGCTGGGAAGGGGAAGAATGCCCTCACATTCCTTCGTGAGGTAAACAAGGTCAGGGAATGCACTGGGATCCTGTTTACCTGACCCTGGCCCCCAGGACCCATGCGGAACAAAATGCTGGAACCAAACTGGCCAGGGGCCAAGGAGCCAGGAGAGGGAGGCAGGGGTTGGTTCTGGCCCAGACCCCTGCGTGACAGCTGGTGGGTGCCAGAGACAGAGGTCAGGATTCTAATCTCACCACTGCTCAATGACAGAGTCACGTGGCTGCCAGAGCCTCAGTTTCCCCTATTCCTGAATGGGGATGATCTCCCAGGCAGAGGGCCCCTTTTTCTGTAGCCACCTGGGACTGGTTTGAGAACCTTGGCACCACAGCCCGTGGTTCTGCCTTTCTGTCCCTCAGCAGCAGCAGGGCCTGCACACTCCCTGGGACCAGAGGACAGTCAGGAGGGGCTGGGGCTGCACCTGAACCAGCCCTGCTAGACATGCAGCCCAGCCAGAGGGCGGGGACACCACCTCAAGAGGGCTGAGTGATGGGTCTGGCACCCCTACAGTCACAGGGCTGGGGCCGGGCGAGCTCCTCTGCCCCGTGCCTGTTCCTGTGTCACTGCCTTCCCAGAACCCCGAAGTAACAACCTCCCTGTGCATCAGAGGGGCCTGGAGGAGCCCCTCCTGCCTGTTCCCAGGAGGTATAGGCTTGCACCGTTCTGGGGCCCCTGTGAGAGCAGCTTAGGGGAGGGGCTGGACTGGGTGCCACAACCCCAACCCAGACATGAATCGCTCACACTGATTCTTTGTCACCCTCAAAAGGGACTGGCTGGGCCGGGGATTTACCTCAGTGGTTTTGCTGGCTGCTGAGCAAGCCCAAGGACCCAAGTTCAATCCCCAGTACCAAAAAAAAAAGGGCAGGGGACTGGCTGTCAATAGGGTAGGAGCTGCTTCTCCACCTGCTTCTCCACCTGTCTGCAGGTACTGTGTGGGGCACAGGAGTAGTCACACCTGACCTATTGGCTGAGCGTATGCCCTGAGAGTCAGATGGGCCTGGGGTCAAGTGTGGCTTTTGCCACTTGCTAGCTGGTGCCTTTAGCTTAGCTCTGTAGTCTCCCTGGGGCCTCCATGTCCTGAACTGTGAAACAGAATCTCCCAGAGTGAATGTGAGATTCCGTGAATTAGCACAGCCAGCATGGGGCACACAGTAGGGCATCAATGAGCGCTGAATCCTTAGCCTCCCACTGCCCCTGACTCCTCCCAGCAGTGCTGGGCCCCCAGGTCCCCCTGCCTGCGGAGGGCCCACCCCAGGACAGGAGCGGCACTGCCAGATGCCCTGCAGTTTTCCCATAAAGGGACCGGACTTGGGTTTCCCTGGACAGGGAATATCCTGTTCTTGCTGGAGGGGGAGGAAGAGGAGCGGGAAGGACACAGCCGCTCTGCATTCCGGGCATTCTTGGCGGCCACCTCCTCCAGCTGCCTCTGCAGCGCTGGGGGCGTTGGCTCAGTGCCACCCTGAGAGGCCGGGCTGTGTGGAGCAGCATTCCACTTTGGGGTGTCCTTTTGATTTGATGGGATGGGGGACCCTCTTGTGTTGGACCCACTCACCCCTGCCTATTGCAGAAAAAAATCCCAAATCCTAACCTGGAAGCAGAAATCCAAGGGTCTGGATACAGCCAGTCAACAGAGGGGTTCTGCTTTCAGCTCTACCTATGGGCTCCCCAGCAAACCCATGGTCACCCCAAAAAGCTCTGAACCGTGGCCAGGGGCAGGGCTGGAAGGGCAGAGGCTCCTGGCTGCTAGACCCCAGGCCTGGGACAGTCACTGCAGCTCCAGGATTCTATCTCCAGCTGCAAAAGGAGGCTCTGGGGACCCCCAGCATTGCACGCTGTGACACTCCGCAATGGCCTCCACAGACCTCTTCCCCAAGCAAGGGCAGGAAGCCAGCCCTCCTCCAAACTGGGCCTGGTCCAGCACCTCACGATGGTGTCCTCTGCTCCTGGAGGGTCAGTTCCAGCATGGCACAAAGAATCCCAGTGCTCAGAGAGGAGAGGCTGGAAGCCTTGCATCAGGGAAAGAGGAACCCATACCCCGCAGCTCCCACCTGGGAGCA